TTCCTAGGAGATTAGCTAGGTGAAGCTCTCAGAGAAGGCCTAGTTGAAAGATAATCATCCACTGCTGAAATATTCTTAACCTCAGCATCCGATCTGGACACAGAAATCCTGACCCTGTAAAGATTTATGCTCATTCTTTGTTTTAGTCAATGACACGAGTGGGACGGTTTGGTTAGTGCTGTCAGCTGCGCTTATGTTTCTCTCATGAGCCAGTCTTTTTATGGCCGAAACGTTTCAAAACCATGATCGAGTTACCAGGTGTCAACTGACCCTCTGGCAATGAGGGTTAAACAGAGTTAAAGCTTTTAGTAAGGTACAAACTGCTGCGTTCTGACCTGCTTCTGAGTGGCAAACGCTTCCGATTCAGTCAATTACTACGAGTCAACTGCTGCCCAGTAATTCTGGGCTGAAATGTTTTTAAAAGAACAATCTATTCCTGAAACAAACATCCATGTGAATGACAACACTAACCAAATATTTCTGAGACATACAGAATTACAGTACTATTACAAATATATTTTCATTTATTTTAATCAACCCAAAGAAAGCCTCTGGTAGGGTTAAGAAAAATACTCTCAGAGATAAACTTTCCTTAAACTTATTGCAAAATGAGGCAGCTACTGGAGTTAATGAAAGTTGAAGCTATATCTCCTTACAATCAGTTGGTCTTCCAGCATTTTATGCCCTGGAAAGACAGGGCTTTTAACGCAGCTATTCATAAAGGGGTTTTAGCATAAGCAGAGTTCCTTTTCCTCTCCAAATAGCAAAAGAAATCTAAGCTGAAAAACACTGGAAGACAAGTTTCTTGCTTAATTTTAAATTAACAGTGGGAATTTACTGTGATTTTAAAAGTGGAAAGTAATATGCCCATGAACTGCTATTAGGACAAAGAAATCATACATCTGATTTACCAACAGTGAAAAATGAAGGCAATAAAATACTAGGAGCATCCTAAAAAGAAAGCCTACTGATGCTTTGTTTTTACTGCAGTTGACTAAACAGATGCAGCTGATTGTGGAGGTTTGTGGTAACATCTATCACAGAAGTACAGATGCTGCAAACATACACTGGGGTGAGCATGCAGAATATTAAACATGTATTTCAAGAGCGTGTTTACCTAACCACACTCACACATTGCCTATTGTAGATTAACAAGGCCTAAAGCCAATTTCTCTTTTACCTGAGCACTAGATCTCTATTTTTTTTTTTTTTTTTTTTGCTCCTGCAACCTAGGGCAAAACAACAATTCTGCCTCTTGAATAAATCACAGGAGAACTGTCAATTGCTGCTAGCTGCTCATTCCTTGTCCTTTCCCACCTCCCTCTGCTCTAAGGGGGAGATAGAAATTTTTGTCTGTCATAGCCAGGGACATGGCAAATCATAATTAGCTCAGAGGGTGCTGTTTATAGCTCCTGCACAATGCCAGGATTTGTTTCTTGTGCTGAAGCTATGAATCTGTAAATGGGATTTTTATGAGGATTTGTGTGTCATCTTGTGTTTTTCCTGGAAGCTTATGCCACTGTCATTCTCGGAGAAGCTATGCACATTTACCAGAAAACTGACATGCTAATTTCCTCCTCATTCTTAAAAATAAGGACTAGAAAGCTCAAGAGAAAAAGATTAAAAAAAAAAGAACGTATTTAAGAAGCAGGTGGGCACAGAAAGGGAGGGGTGGAAAAGAGAAAAAAAAGGACTCGGATACAGCTGGTGTAAGGGCTTTGCTCCAGGAAAGCCTACAATCAATTACTCCTAGTGTGAAACAGAATCTTTCAGCAAGTGCCCAGCTGGCACTCAGCAGAGCAGGGCTGGGACGGTGCCAGCCCAAAACTGGGCAAGGGTTTCCCTTTGCACAGCTGCTCCAGGACAGCAGATTTGCTCTTGGCCAGACAAGTCCTCACAAATGCTGTCACCTGTCGTCTTTTACAAAAGCCTGTCAGAGCTGCTGCTCTGAAAGCTGAGTCACCAACATAACAGCTAAGGATTTATGTTCTAGCATCATCACTTTGAACAAGGTTAACCAGGATCAATTTAGGGTAAGCTTCCCATGAGGTGTACTTGGAAAGCAAAAGCGCCCACAGATACACAGTTCCTGGTGCAGCACAAGGAAGGAACGGACGTTCCAACAGTGCCCACACCACGTGCCCACCTCAGCAGGAGCATCACCAGAATCAGTGCGCACACAAGCTTCATGCAGCTCTCTCCTGCTACTTCTTTCTGCCACACCAGAAAGTCCCCTGAGATATGCACTGAGGGGCCGCTAGTACATGATGCAACACATTTTGAAGCATGATGACAGCTAAGTATCCGCAGTTATCTGCGAGATCACCATTATACTCATCAGGGGCTAATCTGTCTTGAGCAAGTTTTCTGTTTTTGAAGGCCTCCTAAAAATAACTGGGACATGACAGTCCACAAGACTGCTGCCTTAGTACAAAATGATTTTCAGTGATAGCACCACGGTGCTTACAAAATGATTTTCAATGATAGTACCATGGTACAGCCACAAACTCCAAAAAGATCTTCAGCAGAATCCTTAGAGACGATGGGCAGAAGTTTCTCTTTCTTGAGATGTACCACCCATGCATATACATATATCCCTGATATCAGAAAGGACGTTAACAGACAACTAGAATATGGCTTTTGAAGAAGCTGCATCTCCTCTCAAATTAAGATCAATAGCTTCAAGTCGGTGCTTTTTACAGAAGTAGACTCTACTTTTTCAGGTAGAGTATATGTTTTATAACATGGGGATGTTTTTGGCATACTGCAATATTCTCTAATGAAATTACAGCCTTCACACATTCTCTTGTCCCTCAAGCTATGCCACTTTAGAATAACAATTTATTACACTGTGCTAGAGTGAGCTCAACAGTGAGCCACAGAACCAGGCACTGGCAGCACAGCTAATGGGTATAGTAAGAATACATTTGATTGACGGTCTAACTTCATTTGTCAAAATCAAACGCACCCACATACTGAAGGAATGTTGCTGTCATGTTGAAGTGCAATGGGAATTTCCTTTTTTTGTTTTTTGGAGGAACGAAAGAAACTAGGGCAAGGAAGTGAAAGGAGAAGACCTTGTCCATCTCCGCTGAAACGTGGTGTGCCAGAGGAAAATATGCTTAGTATCACACGCACAAATTATATATTTATGTACTCGTGAGTGTGTGCACACACTAAATTTATGAGAAGGAAAAACCTGAACACGAGTAGGGTGCTGTAGGGAGCCCAAAGCTCACAAGAGCAACATCACTAAAAGTGTTGATGCAACTCTCTCCTCACCAGAGGCTGTTCGAGAAAGCAGAACAAAAAGTTACCTAACGCCTGACAAGACCGTCAGGGTAGATTCCTATCACATTTGAAACAGGAAATTCAGTTTGGAAGTAGTCGCAGGCAGACAGAGAAATACCAAATATACATTACTTTCCCCTTCTAATTAAGGTAACGGGAATTAATCAACTGCTAGATTCTTCTCCTCTCATTCTGCTCTTCTCCTCAAAATAAAGTTGAAGTTGAGTATCACTAACTCTTACTATGAGTTAGTCAAAAATACTAACCCTTTTCAAAAGTCCTAGTATTTTATAAGTTTGGAAAGTAATGGATCCATTACTTTCCAGTCATGCCTATACAAGTTTACCTACTTCCATATAATCACACATTTATATTGGGGGAGGGGGGGTGGAGGGAGATAAGGGGGCAACACACCAAACCAATAACCTTTCAAACATGTACATTAAAAGATAAGCTCCAAAATCAGTACGGCTTATCAATACAAATTTCTCTCAGACTGTTTATATTCATTTCCTTATGAGTTGGAGTGGGAAGATATAGTTGAACAAGGCTGATATAAACACTGATCTTGTGCAAAGGGGACACGGGAAGAGAAGGTAGAAAAATCTGTAATAGTGATTAGAAAAGAATCATTTCTAACAAAGTTGCATTTAAATATATATCTGTACATTTGCCTATCAATTGTTACAGGAGAGCGTTTATTACATTTGTATGCTGACTTGCCCACAATGTGAATGTTCACCTAAAAATGCGTAGATAAGAAAAAAAAAAATCTTGAAAATCAGTCCCAGGGTAAAGCTGCATTTATATCATCTTCTTCCTAAAATAGTGTTAAGTAATTCCCAAGAATAATCAGCGTGAGTGATACAGGAGTGGCTGTTTTGTCTTAAGATATGTTAACAACAAAATTAACTACAAGTTTCACCACAAAGTAGATCTGCAGACATTTGTATTCTTCTTGTTGCACAACTTCCGTTTCAGTAGAAACTGGATTGTTACAAAAGTTTTAGTTATACTTTTGTGTTTTTTGTTTCTGGATGTAGAATACTAAATGAAAATATGAGTTCAGCAGAGATGCTGAAGGTTTGTATTATAGTAGTGAATTGATTTGATTTGCTATATTATTTATTTTTGAACTTAAAAAATCCTAATTCAAAAATTCTGTTAATGGTAGCTGGATACTTCTAATTGAAGTTCTGAGAAGGAGATCAATAATTTTTGGTTTAAGTCATCTAAAATGATACTAGCATGAGAGCATTGGTAGCCTCTCAGCAGAGTGGAAAGGAACTGGTCAGCGAAGAGAACAACAAACAAATAAATTTGCTAGCTACTTTAAAGAACTGGGCACAAGGGTTATCTTCAGATAAGTTAAAGCATTACCTGTAGCATATCCGCTACTCCACTCTTACTCTCCTTTAAATTGGAGAGGTATCCAACCGCATTTGCGAGGAATGAGAGGGTAGTTTACCATATACCCGGTTCTCCTCATGACATGTATTATCTGCTTATTATCTTGGATGAGCCTGGCATAGACAGGTATCAGTGCCTGTGCCACCTGATCCCACCCAGAGTTCAAAGCAAGCTCTCTATCAATTCCTTCTGCTTTTCACCTTTCCTTCCCTGCAACACAAAGGTGGCAGAACAGCTACTGCACATACACAAACTAATAGAAAAGGCATTCCACGTTTCAACGCAAAGTTAATGCCTACCTGATTTTGGAATTACAGGTCATTTCATTCTCAGGGTAGTGAATATCCACCGCATCCTGAATGACTGTACCATACTCATAGACTTTAATCTTCTTTGTCACCCCAGCAATGGCAAAGTAGTCACAGTCTCGGTCGAACTCAATACTGAGGAACAAAAGCACAGGTTGAGAACCATGTAACAACACGTGTACTTACAAGCAGGGTATTTTACCACCTAACTGGTCTCAGTATTGTGGAGCTGATGATCACAATTCTTTTGAAGAATACACTTGGTAAACACCGCATTCAAGGCAACTTGGTGTGGTCTGGCACACGCTCGAACAGCATGAAGTTCTTGCTCTCAGGCACCGTTTCCTAATCCCTTCCTAACACAATTTACTTACTGAAACAGACTTTGCGGTAGCACAGTCTCCCTCCTGCAGATGGTGCCTTCGTTCAGACACTCCAAAGGTTCTTCTGTTCAAGTACACCGTCTATGTTATGAGGTACCCAAATGTCAAAGCTGACAGCTCACCCTGGAAGGTACTTAAAATTCGGCTGTGTGGTCTAGAAACAATATGCCACGGGATGACTGCCGATTGATTTTTTTCCAGTTGAACTGTTCTGTTCCTTAGAGTTCACCAAGCTGCTGTATGGAAGAGCTAAGTGTTAAATGCACAGCATATTAATGCTTGTGGAGAAAAAAACCCTAAATTCCCTGAGCAACACAGGGCTGAAGCGTGTATCATCAGTACTATAAAAACCTCACACAGTACAATTTCCACCTAAGGTTGCTCTTGGAAACAGAGACACTTGCTGTCTTGAACTGCAGGGCAAATTTGTAATAGATATCAATGAAGTTGGAAGTAAAAGCAGTCACTTTATAATAAAGTTAAGCCACAAACGAGAAAACCCTGAGGTTGTACATGAAAGACATGTGAGAGAAAGAAAGGCAGCAGGTTACAAAAAGCTAACGCCATCGGTACTTTCACAGCTTGGAAGGGCTTTAAAGAAATTTATTAGGCATCTAATGGAGAATTAAAACTGCTTTCCAGAAGTAGTTCCTTACTCAGAAACAGACTGCCTGCAGCCCATGTTTCTTCAGGGACAGCAGGAAGGATACGCAGCTGTACCTACCTCGTTTCAGTAATACGAGCCTCAGGGAGGCAAGACATGGCACAAAGGGGCTGGGGAGCATTTGCCCTAAAAGCCTCCAGGCTGCTATTACCAATAGCCAGCTCTCCCCAAGTCTCTCGACTAAACAGTCTTCTACTGCTCTCAGAGGTCTCTTTCAGGGCTCTTCTGCTCAGTAATTAACTTTGATGTCTACTGTCCCTCTCATAATTTTCCAAGAGACCATGGCATTTGTAAAACAGGCAGGAAGTTCTGAATCGCAGCAGGGAAAAACTGAGCTTACACTCAGATTTCACATTTACACAGCTTGAAAAAAAATGCTGAGCAGAGGGACTTAAGGTACCTTTGCACACAATTAGAAAGGACTAAACCAGTTACGAGAAGGGGGAGGGCTCCTCAGGTTGCCCTCATAGTCATAACGCCTAGAGTTTTCTACCCCTCAGGGCAGTTGAGGAGTTGAAGGCATTGCAACGCTTTCAAGGGGAGACACATTTAAATGGCAACGGAGTTTTCAAATCCTTGCACAGAAGATACCATCAAGTTACTTTTAAATTATGAAGAGAATAGAGTGCTCATATGCAGTCCGAGGATATAAAATTCAGTGAAATAGCCTGCAGCTTGGTCATCCAACTCAGGCACCTAAAAATCTCCAAAGCAGTGGCAGGAAACAGCCCCAGTCACAATTGCTCGCTTGCCATCGGGGAAATGGACTAGTCCAGTCAAGTCTGCACTATCACAAGCCCATAAAAAAAGGGGAAGAAGGGAATGTGTTTGTGGCTGGGGAAATAATGTTAGCAGGCATGCATTTATTCATATGAAAGGGAAGTGGGAAAGGAAGCAGCTAGACTGCTTCTCTCCCCCTTCTAATCAGATCTATCCTAGTCAAATCAACTTTATTTATATAAAACTCCACAAAAGCACTGTTCAGGCCTGCCTTGTCTCGTCAGCCACTCTGTCCAATGAAAGAATTTTATAATCGACAGCCTACATAACAAAGCAACGGATTTCTTTGTATCACAATCTTAATTGAACTGCTGCCTCAGCTACTGTTTGCAGCCCTGCAGATTCTGGTACAGCACAGCTAGACTGATGGCAGTGATTCATCTACTTGGATTCAATTTATATCCTCAGCCTTCTGCTGCTGAAGGGAAAAAAGGAAACTCAAAAACAAAACCCTACTGTAATGTCTGGTAAAAAGCCAAGTTATTAGAACAGAATAGAATCCTCTTACCTGAGGTAGTTTTGCTTCTCTAACATTTATTTAAAAAAAAAATCTTGAAATAAAGACACACTGTAGGCATAACAAATGAGTATCTCAATATGTCTATAAAAGTTAACATATCATTAAAAGAACAATAAAAAGCATCAACTAATGAAAATTGATTATTAGACCTGTGACCTTCAAACAGCCTCGAAGACACTGCAGGGAGAAAACAGACACAGAAATAAAATGCCACCTGTACAGATGTTTGTCGGCTGCGAGAAAGGCAGGCTGATCTAAAACAGCAGATCTAACACATGCGGTTGCGCCTTGCCTCCATCATCTATGCACAGTAACGTACAGTGAAATGTTTGCGTTTTCTCCCAGGCAGGTTTCGGTAAGCCCATTTAGTTATCCTCTGTACTGACACTTGGAATAGATCGCAACTCGGACTGACCAAACTGAACAAGGCAGCAGCTCCTTTCTGCTTTGAACAAACATGCTTGCTCTGAGAGAAAAACAATGCATAAGAAAAAACAATGCACAGCCAGCTCACTGCAGGGAAGGAAAGAAGCACAAGAAGCCACAGCTGAGAGCAGCAGCGTAGTACAGAGAGCAGAAGAGAAGAGCGCACAGGTCACAGCTAGAAGTTAATGATTAATATCTGCAGTGATGTTTATTTTTTGTGGGAAATTTACATAATTGTTTTCTTAACTCACCCTCCTTCCTGATGCTATACTTTCCCCATGCAAGAAATTCCATAGTTTGTCTTTTCTGATGAGTTTAAAAAACCAAACACTTAAAGAACACAACAAAACTCAGGATCAGTACTAGTGGATTTTTTATTATTATTATTATTTTTTTTTTTTTTTAAAGGGAGCACTGAGGGTAAGCCATACTTAAGACAGCTTGAACACCATAGATGTTCTCTTTTGGACTAGCTGTGACCCTTGCTCCTCAGAGATGGGCACACTAGGAATTATTGGTCTGCCTTCCTTTTTTTTCCCCCCTTACAGAAATAAATTAAAAAAAAAAAGACCCTGGCTAACTAAAGACTATCTGAATTTTACCCATGGAATCTTTTGGTGACACCAAAAATCTTGAGTATTTAGAGAAGCTTTGTTTATACGCAACAGATTTTACTTAGAAAAATTAAACTAGAAAGGAATCGATTGTCTTGCTCCAAGGCAAATAGAGAAGAGACTTCTCCAGTTCCCAAGCAACTGTTTTCTTTTGCCTGATCACTAAGAAGTTAGTGACCAGTGTCGTAGGGAAATACCATCGGAAGCTGCTAGAAAATAAGCAAGCCTAAATAAACAAGCTAACTAACTTAGGACCTTGGAGAGCGCTCACAGCTAACAAATGGAGTTATGAAATAAATTGCTTCTTAAACATGCCTAGAAGCTTGGCTTGAAGTTGAGGGCAGACCTGTAGAGAAGCAATAAAGAATGAGCGTTTGCCATTTTTACCGTTGTATAAAACTGTGGTACATTCGCATCCTGATGATGCATGCAGTTATGTTTTCCACGTCTCAAGAGGATGCACTGGTGCTAGAGAATGCATACAGAAGGGCAGCTAAAGTGATTAAACGGATAGAGCAGCTGCCTTATGAGGAACACTAGAAGAGACAAACTCTGAATTGGGAAAGAAGGTTGAGGGAACATAGGATCAGGGTTTATAGAACCATAATGTTTATGGATCAGGCGACAGTGGAACTGTTGTTCAGCATCTCTCTTCATACTGAAGTTAGGAAGCGCTCAGCAGAAGATTAATGCAGAACAGGTAAATTTTTCGTTTTGGGTATCCCATCATGCCCTCCGCCACTCCCTTCTGGGACACAGTGGTGGCCAAGTGAACTCGATGATAGCAAGCCATGAACCGGTCCGTGACAGATGCTCATTGAAAGAAACAGAGATATTCTCTCCAACATCCCTGATCGAATGATCGCGGATGCCAGGAGACAAGAGGGTCACACCACAGGTTGCGGCCAGGCTCACATGTGCTCTGTGAGCACCACCTTCTCCCGCCACTGGAGGGACAGCAGCAGGCTAGGGGCACCTTCAGCCTGACCCTGGGGATGTTTCAGACATTCAGTTTCTATGAGAGATGGGTATGTGCTATATCTTACTCCTTAAGAGTCACACAAAAGCAAGGGTAGCATTGAACTGCATTTGCCTTTAACTACATCACTAGTTACAGTCAAAGGTCTGTAGCACACCACTCTTCTCCCCTTTCCAAAATACACATGCACACACACACGCTACAGTTGCTACTGTAGTTTCAAGTGCCTCAGCCCTCACTTGGTAACCAGATCTGTGGCTGTAGGAGCTGCTATTTCCACAAAGCAGATGACTGTCCCTCTCATGGAAGGACATTTGCACTGAATGTACCAAGGTGTTCAGGTTCTACTTCTGCCTAATATGGTGCTGTTTCCTTTTCTATTTCTATACCTCCAGCCCTACTCCCTATCTTGCTGTGGCCCCATACTCCTCAGCAATATGGGTATTTTTCTTGATTTTTTTTAGGATCGTTCGTTGGTGGGGGAAAAGGAGAAGCGACAGCAAAACAAAGCATTCGGTTACTTCCTAGCGGCTGTACTATTCCCTAGTTTACTACTTGTACGAGCTACTTTCAAGAGCTTATTTTTGCTCTTTGCTTATACTTCCTTAATAAAGTCTTTCTCACTTTATGCTTCCACTCGCTGGCCTCTGAAGTGCATCCTGTCAATCCTAACAATTCTAAATTCCATTTCTTATAGCCTGTTTGCCTACTGCCAACATCCATTTTGAGCTAGTCAAAAGATTAGAAATCTAGGTTACAATCCAACAGC